CCTCGCAACCCAAGAGAAGTTCAGCCCGTTACCTAGCAACCCCAGCGAAGCTCAGCCCGTTACCTAGCAACCCCAGAGAAGCTCAGCCCGTTACCTAGCAACCCCAGCGAAGCTCAGCCCGTTACCTAGCAACCCCAGAGAACTGAGCAGACTAAATTGTCATTATGTAAGAATCATTTTGTGCAAAAAATGTAACGAACATGTTTTGTTTAGTCCGTAGGTCGACCCTGACCCGTTCAAGGTCACCTCTAAGAGAAACCTCTGTCTCTTTCTTTTAGTCAAAGTCAGATTTCAGCATGTTTTCTTCAGCGAGTTACGGCGGGGGAAATCTTCTGTTCTCTGACTTAACCACCAAGTTTGAAGTGGTGGAGGCGGACGACCCCGTCAGGTGGATGAGCACCAACTATTACAACGTCAGGAAAGCCATGGACTGCACACCTCAAGGTGAGCTGCACCGCTAACACCTCATTTAAAGCTAAACAAGCTAATGCTAATGTTTCAAATAGCATAAAAAAATCACAGTAATCCATTTAACTAGTTTATAACATTGTTACAAGAATGTTAACATGAATTTTTTTCCCCACAAAACAAAAGTGATAAAACCATAAAACAAGTTACATTTATTCAGTTACTTGAGTAACTTTTTACTTTTTACTTGAGTAATTGTATCATGAAGTATCTCGACTCTAACTTAAAGAACAACTTTGTTTTAACCAAAAAATCCCCAGACACACACCTGTGGTTTTTGTACGTTTCACATGGAAAGAAATTTATTTGGACACATTTTTCTTTTGCCTGATTTTGTAATTATGTTATTTATGTAAATTATTTTCATTTTAGTCCTTAAAATACCAAAAATTCCTCATAAATTTTAGAGTTTCTTTTGAACCGTAATAAATGAAATATTGACCAATGTGTAATGTTGGCACAATCTGATATTTACTGGTTTTCTCAGTTGCTGGCTGCGTGATATTTTCTGTTACTTTGTATTTTTGTGTTTTTAAAGCTCTTTGATTTGCCTTGTTGCTGACATTTGCTACACAAATAAACTCGATTGATTGATTGATAAATTTATGTCTCGTTAACGCAGTACTTGAGAAGCCTTTTCACCAAATACTTTTTTACTCTTATTTGAGTGATTTCTTGGATGGCTACCAAAAAGAAAGTTTCTCGGTGCTCAACCTGCCACCTCTGAGTGAAGCAGAGCAGAAGGTAACTGAGGGTTTTTTGCAGACATCCCCTCTGCCATCCGATGGTGTGTTTTGTCGAGCGGAGAGCAGCAGAAATGTGCCGATATGGGCGCCGCCTTTAAGAGCAAAAGCCTCACTCCCACCGTCAGCTGCATCCACGGCACCTCTCTGGCTGACTGCATGGCCAAGATCAAAGTAACTATAACTACATGATATTTAGCTTTACTGCTTTGATCTAAAGAATGCTTCAGTCTCCCATCTTCATAATGTTGCAGAACAACGAGGCGGACGCCATGACGTTGGATGGAGGGTACATTTACACGGCGGGTAAAAACTACGGCTTGGTTCCCGCTGCAGCCGAGAGTTACACAGGTAACAGAAACCAGACGCCGTGTTTCCTCAGTCCGGCTCTCATGCATCCCGTTTTCTCCTTTCTAGAAGGCGAGCGTGACGGCTCCTCATACTACGCAGTGGCAGTGGTGAAGAGAAGCAACACCGGCATCCGTAGCCTTGACGACCTGCGTAACGGTCGCTCCTGTCACACCGGCTACGGTCGCACTGCAGGCTGGAACGTCCCCGCGTCCGCTCTGATAGAGAGAGGACTGATCAGCCCGAAAGACTGCCAGGTTCCCCAAGGTCAGTGCAGGAGCGTCGATCGATTATATCGATTGTATCAATAATATCGATACCGGTGTCGGATACATACTTTAGCTTCAGGTTCCCTCTTGTAATTTTGATTTGTTTTGTATTTTAGTTTCTAGGGCTGAAACTATTAATCAGATTAATTGATTATTGAAATAATCGTCTACTAGTTTGGTAATTGATTATTGGCGTACACACAGACTTGGGTAGGATCTAGTTACATTTACTTGAGTAACTCTTTTGAAAATATTTACTTTTTGGAGTATTTTTACTGCGCCGTACTTTGAGTAGTTTTATTATAAGTATTTCTGCTCTTAACTGAGTAAAATCTCTGGATTTTCTTCCCACTGAGTGAAAAACAAACAAGTTTTAACCAAAAATTCACCAAACAGACTCACACCTGATGTTTCTGTTAAAGTTTCATCAGTTTTTTATTGAAAGAAACTGATTTAAAATTTTTCTTTTGCGTGATTTTGATATTTTTTATTTTTATGAATTATTGTAATTTTTGTTCTTAAAATGCCAAAATTTCCACTCAAATTTACATTTTGGTCCATCTGATGATGTAATTTTTAAATATTAAGTGATTGATTATTTGATCAGTTACTTGAGTTCAGTTTTTGGGTAATCAACCACCTCTGAGTGTACAGACAAGAAAAAAAAACTATTTGCAGGAAGAACAGCATCCTCAGAGGAGAATTAAATTAAAACTGGACAAAAATATAAGAACAAAAAAAACAACTTTGTAAATATGTTTACCCAAAACTTCTGTCAACAAATGTCAATTTTAGCTTCACTTGTTGTAAATTCAGTTAAATTCTTCATGGTAACTTGTTGCAGATCAGGTACAAAAAAAAAGAAAGAAATTATTTTGCATTTTTAACTTAAACATTTACAAATAGATTGTGGCGTCTCGGTGCTTTCAGCTTGGTGGTTCTGTCAGATGGTACAAAACGTTTGGACTCGTTTGAGCTGATACTAAAATCCTCATTTGGACTCAGATTCTGGTGACTCTGGTCCTGAACTGCCCTGCTCATCTCTGTGTTTTCTGCCTCCTCTGATTGTTAGCGGTGGGAGGATTCTTCGAGAAGAGCTGCGTTCCTGGCGCCAATCAGAACGGCTTCCCCAAGAACCTGTGTGATCTGTGTGTGGGAGACGACTCGGGCCAGAATAAATGTGAAAAAGGAAAAGATCGGTACGACGGTTACGACGGGGCGTTCAGGTACCGAAACCAATCCTGGTGTTTTTAACACTTCTCCAAAAATGTTTTGGTGTTTATGGAGCCCCCTAGAGGACATGGGGGGAATTTATTTACTTTTCTCTCAAAATAATTTACTAGTTGTGTCATGAAGCAGAAAGCTTTTCTGCTACGTTTTTATTTAAGGCGTAAAATCAGTAATTTGCTCACTCAGGTGTCTGGCTAGCGGGGACGGAGACGTGGCTTTCGTCAAGCATTCCACTGTCTTCCAAAACACAGACGGTGAGAAACCTTTCAGAAATCGTCTCGGAGGTTCTGACGGCTCCAGGAATTAACTCGACCGTCGTGGTTTCAGGTCATTCGACGGAAAGCTGGGCTGCAGGTTTGGTGTCGACAGACTTCCAGCTGCTCTGCTCCCAGGGAACCAAAGCCGAGGTCTCCCAGTACCGGCTGTGCAACCTGGCCAGGGTTCCCTCTCACGCCGTCATGGTGCGACCAGAAACCAACATCCACGCCATCTACGGGCTGCTGGACCGCGCACAGGTCAGGACAGTCCAGAGCTCAGTCAAAACGGCTAAAACTTTGACTCAAGTCTGGGACAACACTTATTACTTAAAATGAAAATGAATCTTTGAAGGACACTCTAGAAACTGAGATTTATCATTTCACTTGCTGCATTTCCATTACAAATATACACGAATCACAATGTTCCCACTAAACAAGAAATACAATTGAAATCACACATGAATAAGTTTGTTCAGGCGATATATAATTAAAAACTACTTCCTGTTGTCGTCTTCTTCATGGTTTCTGCCAGTAGTAACAGCTGGTGTTAGATCATGTGACTTGTGTGATTTGAAAAATAAAAGTTTCCATCACAGTTTTGCGAAATAAAACCAATTTTGATACGGTTAAAAAATACCTCATCCTAGCACAAAATGAAAAATTTACTTTCAAAATGTCAAATTGCATAATTACCCGGTCAGTGGAAACACAGCTGGTGCTACTGTACAGAAAGATTTCATGATTTAAGGCAGACTTTAATGCTTTCGCAGTGATTCTGAGGTTTCTCCATTTTCCTGTATTTCTTCCTTCGTCTCTGCAGACCCACTTCAGCAGTGACACCGGTTCTGGTTTCAAGATGTTTGACTCTCAGGGCTACGAGGGCACAGACCTGATTTTCAAAGACTCCACTGTTCGCATCATCGGCGTTGGCGACAAAAAGACGTACCAGGAGTGGCTGGGTCAGGATTACATGAACTCAGTGGAGGACCTCGAGTGCAGCTCCTCCAACACAGGTGAAATTATTTGGTTTTCTGAGAGAAACATTGATATTCAGACTTATTAGTAATATTAATCATATAGACAGATTCTACTGTAATCTATGGATTCCAATTAAATTCTAGCTATGAAATGATGCTGCAGATTTTGCAGAGTTCTGAAGTTTATAGATATTCCACATGCTAAGCTGGTTTTAACAGGAAGACGCCTCCATCAGAGCCTCGCAGGATCAAAAAAGGATTAAATTTATGCCCCAAAAACTCTGAATTTTTTTTTTTGATTAATCTCAGAAATGTTCCAGAAAAAACAAGGAAATTTCAGAGTTTCGAAAGTTGAAAATTTGCAAGAAAAAAAAAATCAGAAATTTTAAGATTAATCTTAGAAATTTTCTCCAAAATATCTTGGAAATTCTGAATTTGAAGTGGAAAATCTGCTAGGAATAAAAATCGTAAATTATTAGATTAATAATAAACTGATAATAAAATGTTATTTATAATGAATTTACATACAAACCCCAAAGTGCCGATTAATCTTAGAAATTTTACATTTTTCTTTTTTCAACTTTTTTAGCTCAGAAAAAGTTTTTTTTGCCAGTCTATTAAGATAGCCCTCACTAAAATGAAAACTGTTTTCGGTTTTGATATTTTCTGATTTTCGTTGCAGCCGTCTCCTCTGCGTTGCTGCTGCTGGTTGCGTTGCTCAGCCTCACGTTGACCAACGTCTGGATGTAAAGCCGCAGCGACTCCAGATTCACCTCCAGACCTGTTTCTTCTTCACACACATTATCCCGCACTCTCAATCACCTCATCATCACTTCTCTTCCTCTTTTTCTTTCACTGCTTTTTAACTCATTTGATTGCGGCCTAGTTAAATCACAGTTTGTAGCTTCAGACTAGTTGCTTTCTAGAAACCCAATCCAGTTTGTTTGTGTGTTAATTTACAATCTGGGGATAAAAGAGCTGATTGGAGCAATAAAGAGAAACGGAGCACATTGTGTTTGTTTGGCAGAGATTTAACAACATGTGAGAAGAAGACGGAGGGCGCCATTTTGTTTACGGAGGGTGGGTTGCCATACCAGTGCGTATGCTCCCACCTGTTACATTTACACAGCGCCTCGTCAAAAAGCTGATTTTTAAAGTTTACAAAGGCCACTTTAAATAAGTTACCGTCATATTTACCTCAAAGAAAATTCACTAAAACTCAGAAAAAACTTTGGTTCAATTATTATTAAAAAAATGAAGTTTATTTCTCACTTCTGACCAAAACAAACTTACCTTTCTTATTTTTGTTGCTCCATTTTATTTTGCTTTAAACTGCTGATTGTTGTGTATTTTCCTACAATGAAAGATTTATTTTTATATGACGTTCAGGTGCCATATCAGTGTATATGTACTGACTCATGCTGTCAGACGTTGATGCATTCTCTTCCTTCTGATAGAGATTTATTTCTTTGTGAAATGATTAAATGTGTGACTAATATTTAGTTGCCAGGCCAGTGTGCCTGCATAAGTATTACTGCATTAAGCTGCTGCTGTTCTGTGCTTGTCTAAATTAAATAAACATGTAAGCGAAATGAACTGAGTCATGTAATTTATTCTTTAAAATATTTGACATTTTCTCCAACTATGTCCCTGCTTTTCGTATTTTGCAGTTCTTTTTTAAATGTTTCCTTCTCATTTCCTCCAGTTTTATGCTGAAAACCTCAATATTTTGAGGTCTCACAAACTTCAAAATATTGCCAACTCCAAATTTTCTTTATATATTTTGCATCTTTAGTCACTTTGGAAATAATCTGGTATAAATTAGTCTTTATTTAAACTGTAATGGCAGATAAATTCATTATATATACATACAGATACATCTTTACACATTTAAAAACATTTCCAGCAGAATATGTTTTACAAGTACAGAGCTGCCGAAGCTCTTTGGCAGGACGGCAGTTTGTGAACTGCACACTGGAAAAAAAACAACAATTTTGTGTAGATTAAGGTGGCAATAAATAAAAATGAAGGTCCTTAAGTTAAAGGCATTTGATGTTTCAATTGAAAAAGTGAATAAACTGATACTCTTCTCATTATCACGGCTTTACTTGACTTTTTATTCTACTTATTGAACATCGATATCATGGCTTATTCTCGTAAGTTTTATTTTATTGTAACTTTTTTCTTAGTATGGTCCTGAATGTCCGTCGTAGTAATATTCCAATATTAGTTTACACAGAGTTTTTCCCCTCTCCGATACAATAAAAACCCTTTCCATGTGTTTTTAAAAACAAAAAGTGAAGTTCATTTTAAAACAAGAGAAGGTGCAAACCAGTTATGCTTGTCAGCTTTGTTGAGGCAGATTGTTAGGCTCACATCAGACTGATTTTTCCTCATTCAGACCTAAACTCCAATATAATCATCAGTCCTTCCAGCAGCACAGAAACGCTCCGGTCTTCTTTACTTCTTTATCCGCCTGGAGCCATCTTTCCATCCGTCCTTCACCTCCTTCACGAACGTCTCCCGGACTCTCCGCAGGCGGTTGCTCACCTCCTCCAGGTCGCCGGGGACTCTGCCGGCTTCCTGTCGGACCTGCCGCAGCGTCTGGGACCGCATGACTCGCTCCGACGTGTCCCGGCCGACGATCTGAGCCTTGGTGAGGGCGTACGCCGTAAGCTGAGCCGCCCTCCGGATCGGACGGGACTCCGCCAACTTCTCAATAACCTGGAGGTTATTGACGAGATACGCTAACATGCGAGATAGCATTTTGTCCGCAGTCGGTTAGCTGCTTCTTCTTCTCTTCTTTTTTTTTCTTGACCTCTTTCAACCCTACAATGATATCAGTTTTCATTAAGCATATAAATAATATATATATTATATGTCAGTACAAATTTTACTTACTTCAGCTTAAGTTGGATTTAAATGACATAAAGACAGTGGATGTTTGGTAACGCAAGAGAATCTTCTTCTTCCAGTGTTACGGTAATCTGCATTTAATTGAGTTGTAGTACTGCCCCCTGCTGGATGTCAGGGATATTTCCATCCGCAGCCGAGAGTTAAAAAAAAACAGGCAAAAACTGATGAAGGGCAGGAGTTCACTTTTATGTTTGAATTGAAACATAAAAGTGAAATATACTACAGAGTAGTATATCACACGAGTAGTATTTTACTCGTGTTATTTGTCTGTTCTAAACTTGAAAAATGTGTTCCCCTTGAATTGTCTAGAAAAATAATATTAGAAAACTACCAAAACTGAGGCTGTCTTGGAAAATGCAGCAGAAATACACACACACCCCTCCCCCACACACATAAGTAGCATTAATGTTTTTGTTTTTTTAATCACAATTGTTAACATGTGTAATTGTTTATGTGTATGTATATATGTCCCCCTTCTTTGGTTTTCATTATGAAATTATAATGAAAATTTAATACATATTACATTATTAAATTAAATGTTAATTAAAATTAGTGGACATTTATAAACCGTCAACTTTATTATATTACATATACAACATAAAAATGCAAATGTAAAAAAAATATAACTTTTTCGACTTTACAAAAAATAAGCATTTATAAAAAGAATTTAACTCAGTTTTTACTGAATAAAGCTAGGGACTGTTTAAAAAAAAAAAAAAAATACAAGTTCTTGGGACCGAAATGTTCAGTCCCAATATCCTCCGGAATGTTTATCCGGTAACACCAGGTGGTGAACCACATCCGGTCGTACTGCTCGTACATCCGTTTTTCGGAAAAGGATTTTCTAGCTCTCTTTTTCAGCGGTCCTACTCTGTAACCATGCGGCTGCTGTTGCTGGTGGTAATGGCGGCTCTCTCCCTCGGCCCCGCGGCGGTTAGCGGAGCCGACAAGAAGAAGCTGCAGATCGGGATCAAGAAGCGAGTGGACAACTGTCCCATCAAGTCCCGCAAAGGTGACGTGCTGAACATGCACTACACCGGCAAGCTGGAGGACGGAACGGAGTTCGACAGCAGCATTCCCCGGGGCCAGCCGTTCACCTTCACCCTGGGAACCGGCCAGGTGATCAAGGGCTGGGACCAGGGCCTGCTGGGCATGTGCGAGGGCGAGAAGAGGAAGCTGGTCATCCCGGCGGAGCTGGGCTACGGAGACCGGGGAGCTCCGCCGAAGATCCCCGGAGGAGCGACGCTCATCTTCGAAGTGGAGCTGCTGAGCATCGAAAGGAGATCGGACCTTTGACGTAGAAATAAACGACGGATTTAAAGAAGTTTATTAGTATGTTTTGTTTTCTTACATGTTAAAACTGGTTTACTTAAGGGTCACATTTACTTAAGGGGGGCGGGGGGGGGGCGATTTTAGGGAGTATTTTCACTAATATTTTTACTCGAGTAATTTTATTTAGTATTTCTACTTTTACTTGAGTAAAATTTCTGAGTAACTTAAGTGAATGAATAACAAGCTTATTTTCAGATATGTTTAGAGTAAGAGTAGCACAAATTCAACATATTTTTATTCAAGTAATAGTAAAAGTATCCGTCCAAGAAATTACGTGAGTAAAAAGTATGTGGTAAAAAGTCTAGTCAAGTACTGAGTAACTGATCAAATTATTACTCAGTCAAGTACACCACTATGTACTTGGAAGTTGACTAAGTAATTCACAAAGCAGATTAACACACACTTATATTTTTTTTCATGTTTTTATTTTACCTAATTTGATTTCAATTAATCTCTTATTTCAAATTGGTTAATTATTTCTTTCTGTTATCTGAATATTTTATTTCATCTTTCAGGATCCAAGAATTGCTGCTGCATTAAATGGAGACCGCCTGACTTTTGAAGAATGAGCAAGAAGATTAAAAACAAAACCAGGGAAATGAATCTAAACCCCAGCAGAGCCTCGGTTCTCCTTTTAGTAGGACTTAAATGATCGTATGATGTAATAAACAATGATATTAGGCAGTAAAGTCCAGCTTTTGTTCAGGATGACATCACACCACTTCATCTGTTGATTTTTGCTTCATGAAAACTTGTTTACTTACATTGCTACATTCCTCTTTCACAAATGATTGACAGTAAATCAGGTAAAACTGAGGCAGGGGCCAAGTGATTATGAATAATTTTTGTTTTGTAATTACAATAAAATGTTTCCCTAACTTTTCCCCTTTAAGCGCTGGTGGTGATTATTTTTATGCAGGTTGTTTAGCTTTAGACAATGTCTTCTGATTGTGGACGAGCATCCTGAACACTTCTGATTTGCAATAAACCAACACTAAAGTTTAAAATTTATGAAAATAAATGAAATGTGTTCATAATAAGTCAAAGTAGAACAATTTGGAGACCAAGCAGAAGATTACTGAAGGCACCAAACATATAAAAAGATAAATTACACCTCATAAATATTTTAAAATGTTAAAATATACAATCTTTTTATGAATTTTAACAAGAAGAAAAAAGTGATAATGGTTCAAGGTGCTGTTGCATACAAGATATATTTTAATCCAGGCTCACAAGCTGAAAAACTAGTTAATGTAGATAAAATTTAGAGCAAAACGATAATTAATTGGGCGAAAATTTAAGGGGGTTTTCTCACTAAGAAAATTAATTGCGGGAAAGGCTGGTGTGTAATAGTTATTTTATGTGCATTGTTATAGCTGCGGGGTACACCACCACATTAGTACCCATTATGGAGTAATAGCTTGCTACCAGCAGAGGGCGCTGTTTATAACACTCTGTGGTGGCGGAGCCTTTTAACAGACGCACACCTGAACCGGAAATTCTTGTGTCCCTTTTCTGAACATTGAAAAAAGGAGCAGAGCGCTTTGCTGCGATTCCTCCACAATGTCCGTGAAGCTAAACGCTTTGAATAGCGATTCGTACATCGAGGTCAGTCAGTACAGAGACCAGCACTTTAAGGTGAGTGAAGAAGAAACTCTTTGACGGCGGCGCGGAAGTTAAATGAGCTTTAACCGTTTTTCAAGTTAGCCAACTGTGAAGCTAACGGCTAAGGTTTTTGAATGAACGCGGTTGCTGCTATGATATTTAACCCCGAGATACATATTGTTTACATTGCTGCACATATGAACAAAAATACTGACTTATGCTTCTTTAACTGTATGATGATATGAGAAAATGTGCCTCACTCAAACAGTGTTTACAGTGGTTATATTTTGCTCCGTAATTAGTGTCTTTCTTCACCTACCTTTGTTAATAAAGCAAAAATAAATGGAAGGAAAATCTGTTTTAAATTGTA